AGGGCAATTACAAGCTATAAATATTGATCTGCGGCTGAAAAAAAATGCATCTTTTCTATTCAAACATAAATAATACTTACACAGACATATCGTCAAAAAATGTGTCACTATATAAACTCAAGGATATATGCATACTACTACGACTCCTACAACTCTACGATGCGACTATACCTAGTAGGTAACCAGATAGTAGTAATTATATATATTGAGTTTGAATACATACGTGTAATCAATTACGTTAGAATTTAGCTCATCGACATTCTCAACATGTGTTTCAACTGGAGTATTATTATCCAAGCTGAATGTTTTGATACTTCGATGCCATGCGAAGCATTTAATTTAGCGAATTTTGGATTCGTCAAACGATTGAGACCCACATAAATGTATGCTGCTATAGGTGTATATATAACCTTCAACCTTTCAGCTTTATACATTGGGGTATACAAATAGCTAGTGTAGATGCTTAGATCGGTACAATATTCAAATACGTAATGAATGTAACTGGCATACAAGCACACAATCAAAGCATATACATCATATAACAAGTGGCATACTTATGTAAGCAAAACAAACAAACAAACGGAATTGTCCGAAAAGGCAAATACGGTTTGGATGAGAACGCAGATACGAACACGTATATATCACAAATACATAACTTTTATACACAAACATGTTACATACCCAGGGATCAGACGTCCAGGTATGTTTAGCCATTGCAATACACAAAGGCAAAGTGTTAGATGCACGTACTAAGAACTATATATCAAATAAGCTAACGCATAATGACGTTCGAGATAAACGACTAACGTCACTGTAATACAACTTACGGAATAGTCGCAAACTGGCTTACTGGGCACTGAAATAACCATATCACATGATCTGCATAAAACCGACGTAGTGTATATACTTCTATGACTGCTATCATAAAACTTGCTCATCGCCTCAAAGTACTCATAAAGCGTGCTGAAGCGACGTCAGATCTTGCGTATACACTATATGCTTTCGATACTATTCATATGAATTATATTTCTGAATTCACAGAAGCTGCTCGCATGGACTTCCATATTGACAAACTACATGTCATACATACCCCATAAGTTATAGCCAGGATGACGACCAAATATTGTCTTGATGTAAAGAATATGTAGAGAATATCATGAACAAGATGAATGTGGGGTATATGGCAGCATAGCGGCGGTAGCTATCGATCGATTTCACAATACAACAAGTGATTGAGGCGTACAAAAACCTACTCGGAAGGTCAAAACCAGTTCGGCTAGTCTAAGAAGGTTATGAAGTCTATTGCTTCGAGGCCAAGTATTTCCCTAAGCATATTCACGATCAACGTAAAAGGGCTACCGGCATTGTACTACAACATGGAATAGTCAAATTTGCTTATTGGGCACTGAAATGATTCACTAGAGAACCATTCCCTACATATAATCGACTTAACTGTATTTGCTTCAATGGCTGCTATCAATAAACTTCATCATCCTATCGAAGTATCTACAGAGTATTACGAAGTGGCGCCAGATTTGGTATATACACTACACGCTTTCGATACTATCTATATGAGGTCTATTTCTAAATCTAGATAAGCTACTCGCCTGGACTTCCATATCGACAAACTCATGTGGTTCACTTCCCACAAGCTATATCCAGGCCGAAGACTAAATATAGTCTTCCTGTAAAGATGTATTTCCAATAGTATATATGAAAGTAAGAAAAATATCATGAACAAGGGAACAAGGCGAAAACCCTACA